TGATGACAGTTCTTCAGGCTTTTTCCCATTTCTTTCGTCTCCTGTGTGTGTGTGTGTGGGGGGGGGGGGGAACATCTACTCCGAGAATTTCACGGTTGCCAATTGTACCACCATGCAAGCTGGAACCAAATGCAGGTCACTGTGTTTTTAAACTCTGGATATCTTTTCTGAACTCACAATCACCACATGGTGTTCTTAGCTGACCATGTTTTTGGTGCTGTGAATCTGGTTGTGGATCAATTATTTCATCCCAATCAGATTCTTCCAATGAAGGGGTCGTTGGTGTGTTCTAAACGGGAAACACCTCATATCAATGCCTTTGCCAAACAATGAACATCAAACTTCCTTCATATTGGTCTCCCATTCCACACCCAGTTCAGTCAGTATTGGAGGTGTCTTCACATCTATGCCTACATCAACTTCTGTCCAGAGTTTCACCCTCATTCAAACCACTTCATATTGCTAGCACAGCTATGGTTCCCTCTGCTCTGGCCTTTTCTTGTACAATCTCCCCTACCTTTACCCGTGTCTCTTGTCAGGTCCATTTTCTCAGCTCAGGAACAGAATATTGATGTCACATCCTTCCTTTCCTAAACCATCAGACTTCCCATAGCCATTTGACAATTGTAATGGTCTACCTTCTGCGATGATTGGTTTCACATGGTTTCTCTCTTTATCATCCATCTGTTTTTGATCTTTCCCAATTCTTCACGATGTTGTTTGACATGGGCTTGTCTGCTTTGACCATGTCTAGCTATTGGGTAGGCCTGTCAAACACCTTTCATTTCTCTAGGATTTGTCTTCTACTGTCATTTCTTTCCTTTTCCAATCCTTTCATGTCCATCTTTTTTCACATGATTCAGATTAAAAACGTGGTCCTTTATGTCCTTTCCATTTCTCCATTTTAAACATTGTCTGTACATTCCTTGTACCATCGCTCACTCAAGACCGATTTCCTCCTCTTCCTCGTTGCTAGTGCATCATACAGATATTTATTCCATTAATGTTTCTCACATCCTTTAACACTCCAATTATAATGTTCTCTATCCCAACTGGTTCTTCACATGGAGGATGTGAAAAGAAAATGTTTTTTTAGGTTTTATACTAATATTTTAAATAACCAAAAAATAAAAAAAATTACTATATTGATATTATAGAATTCCACTATAATTTATCATGTGTTGTAACTAAGCAGAATATGGATCCGAAAATATGAAATTTCGAGCTCACTGAAGACTTATTGTTTGAAATATTGTATGAAAAGAAGGATCTTACCACAATAACACATCAAAATGGCTGACAAAACCAATAGGGTACATTCTGAGCTAGTGATTCATTATTCATGTCATGTATTGAAGTAAGTGTACATAAAGGAGCATTTCCAAAAAATGGAAAGAGGTAAGCGGGGCCACTGTGTTTGATTCAATACAAGTGATATCTTAGCATGTAGAAAAGAAATGAGGTTCTTATATTATATTCTAGCTTCACAATATTGGTAATTTGAATTTCTAATTCGTTCTAAACTATAGACTTTCTATCTGGATCACAAAGATATAATT